TATAAACCATATACGTTTTAAGCTGATGAGCAATACAATGGTGACATTTTAGTTTTAAATGTGACATTTACATTAATTTGCTCGTAAATACATTAATCCTTTGCTTCCATTACGGAAAGTTGTGGCTTACATTATGACATAAAAAGTAACACACGTCGATGATGGTTCACCAAGTTAATGTGTATGCTGAAAGTCGACTGAAAGAGCGATAAACACTTCATGCTCTGGCGGTCTCCTTTCAACTTCGCATTTGCTTTTTAGGGATGGCGCTTTTCATCCCAGCGGCTACATGTGGAGTGAACCATTTCCAACAATCTATTACTCCAATAATCAGACCTAGAAGACAACCTTCTCCTACTCGTATACAAAAACACAGCATCATGCTTGTAATTAAACGAGATATTGGAGTAATAGATTGTTGGACGGCGGAGGGCGGGGTAGCCGCCACAGCGGGGAGCATTACACATAAACAAGGTATCTCCCCGCCTCCTGGAACAAAATTAACATACATAACATATACATTATACGATACTAATTGTAAGTTAAATGCATTTACATACCACACCCACGGCCTGGAATCTGTTGACCTCCACGTGGTCAAGGCTGGAAACGATGACAGCGATGCCTTCCTGTCAGCGGATAAGAGACAAAAAAACACGTAAGCATTAGCTTTCGAAATCCACTGCATGTAGTTCAGATATATACACGAGGCACTTCCTCCCTCTTACTTTCTTACTCAATACTATGCAGAAAATAAAACAGAATAAATTCGATATAAATTTTCGCTTACAATGTGCATACACATACTTACATTTTTTCCATACCTACCTTTTTATCTTATCAATAGAAACAAATGAAAAACCCCGCCGGCGCACATTAAAGCGAAACACCCGTACCATTCACAGGAAATTTCGCACCAAAACAACCATAATACAGTTCATTTTTCTGATTACTAATTGCTCATCAGGTGCTCAGAAAGAAAGGCCAGTGACACTCCCAAGCGAAGGCTTGCGAGGAGCGAGCGAAGCGAGCTCTGAGCAAGCCGAGCCCC